AGAAATGAAAAGTCTGTTTGATAGAGGAAAAAAGCACTGGGGAGTTTCAAATGGCTGTCCTGTTGAGAAACAGATAAAAATTTTGAAGTAGATTGTCACCATTAAAGAAAAGCCCATTGCTCTATAGTGGAAGCCTAGCAAGGTGCTCTAAGGGTATAAGCTTCCACCCAGCTTGACCTTCAGTTATTGGAAGGAGTAAGAAATGTGATTCCAAGTTCCAGGAATCAACTTTCTACAAAACCTGCTGCAACTCTGGTCCAAGCAACTCTGGATGGGTCCATTACAACTTAGTAGCCAAACTTGCCTTAATCACCCATGTTGTTCTGGTTCTGGGAACAATAAAGATGCCAAATGTAAAGGTCATGGATTCTTCCTCTGTGGTTTCAGTTCAGCACTGGTGAACCCATCTGTGTTTGGCAGGGTCAGTATCCTAGTCAGGAGCCATTGATAGTTTTTTGCATGAAGCTGTGAAGATGAATCTTGTATTCTTTTGAGAAAATCAGATACTGACATACTAAACTATGAAGCATTTGCCATGGATAGATGCATACATAGAGTGTAAATAACAAATGAGAGACACGAAGGAAATGTTACAGGGATAGAACTATTTAAGTTCTTTGAGGATGAAGCTCCTTGTCTCTGAGACAGAAATACAGAATTTTGTCTTGTTGGTTTATAATCTTGCTTTGGCCAATCTTCCCCCACTGTCTCTGCATTCCTCTTTTTTCTTTTCTTTTCTTTTCTTTTTGAAATTCTTCTCTCACAGAATTCATCTCAACTACAGTTCCCCCATTCACTCCTCAGTTCCCTTCCTTGATCAATTTTTCTCCAGATCCCCTTCTCCATTTCCCTTCTTTAAAGAGATCTCCAAGGGATACCAACCAAACATGGCATATCAAGTTACAATAATACTAGACATAAACCCTCATATAAAGGCCTGAAGAGGTAACCCAATAGGAGGAATAGCATCCCAAGACCAAGTAAGAGTCAGAGACATCTCGTACACAGTGTTACTGATGCTATAGCTATGTTAGAATATTGAGGACTTGTTGTAGTAAGATAGTTGGGTTCTGATGAAGACGTATTGCCCTGTCTGTTGTTTGCTTCTTAAGCTGCCCTCTATGTAGCTGGGTTTGTGATGATTATGAATCTACATTCATATTTCTCATTTTGTCTCTTTTGAATTGATGTTTATTTTTTGGTTTCTATTTGCTCTTTGTTCTTCTGGTCTCTGTGGCCTGTGGTTCAACAGAGATTCCCTCGATCATGTTTGCAGCTGGAAATCTGGTGACAGGTGTGGTCTGGGTTCTGTCAGGCTTTCAGGGAGTCTTTGCGCAAATTAGGGGCTGGGGAAATATGGAGGGATGGGGACAGTGCGGTGTGGGGAACTTTGAGAGTGGGGATGTCTGTGGCCTACATGGACCTCTCACAGCTCATGTTTCTTTTTTACAATATCTCCACCCATGTTGGGAGCTAGGACACAGTGACAAGAAGGCAGGTGGGAGTAGGGATAATGTTTGGGGAGCTACTCAAAGAGTGGAGGAAATCCATGGGTGGGCAGTCTGCCTGGATTTCTAAAGTCTGGTGTGGACTCTGTTTCAACAGGGAGTCTTTGTCTGAGTTCAAGTACCTTTCCTTCTGGCTGGTGTAGCCTGCTCTTGAGCAAAGGATTCACACCCAGTTGGGGGTGGGGTTATGGCTACAGGGGTGGTGGTTGGACTTTTGTTAGGGGATTATGTCTCTGGAAACTAAAGAAATGGAGAAATTTCATGGACTGGTAGCCTAAGTGTTCTTCTGGCTGCTGTAGTCTGTATGTGAGTATGGTATGCCTGCCCAAGTTGGGGGCTGGAACACAGCACGTTCTTCACTTTTTAAATGGGGGAAAAATCCAGTGTCCTTGTATGTTTGAAAAAGTTACTTTGTTTTTTTAATTTTACAAGATGTCACAGGACAATATTCTGTCTTAAGGATCAGAGGGGACTTTGAATATTTTAACGGCATTGGAGCTGTTTAAGATTGTGGGGACCATGAAGTTAGACTTTTCATTTCTTTTTATTTATTCTCTTTTTTAATTCTTCTCTCCTATAGTACATATTGACCACATCAACAACTCTGTCTATTCTTTCTAATCCCCAACTTTCCCACTGCCCCAACTTTCCACTGTTCATTTCTTCCTCTTCAGAGAGGGCCTGCCTCCCAGGGATGTCAACTGAACATCATGACAAAATACAATGAAACTAGGCCCAATCCTTGATATCCATGGAGGATTAAGCAAGCTAGTATGAGGAAAATAGTCCCAAGAGAAAGCAAAAGCGTCAGAAACAATCACACTCTTACTGTTAAGAGTCCCACAAAATCGCCAAGAAAAGGGGAGGATCGGACTCAGACCCTGTAAGATCCATAATTGCTCTGTCAGACTCTTTGAGCCCTTATGATCCCTTCTTAGTTGCTTCTGTGGGCTGTGTTTTTCTGGCATCCTTAACACCTCTGACTTCTTTGAAACCTCCATCCAAATTTCTGCATCCTTTTAAGTGCTTCAGCTAGTGTGTGGGTGAAGTTCTCTGTTTTTGCCACCATTATTTATCAGAGGAAACCCCTCTGATGACAATTAGACCAGGAAGCAATCTTTGATTATATCAGAGTACAGCTGGGAATCATTATATTGGCCATTGTTTTCTTTTTTGCTACTTCTATTCTGTTCTGCTCTAAATCCCTGAGGCATCAAACTTCTTATTCATTGCCATCCAGGTAATGTTGGTCATGGGTTACCTCTTTTGGCTTGGGCCTCAATTTGCTCCAGTCATTGGTTTGCCACAACATTAATTTAAGTCACCAATTCTCTGGTATATCTTTCAGACAACACAAGTGTGTGTCAAATATTTTATGGTTGGCTTTTTTTCCCAATTCCACCACTGGGAGCTATATGTCATTACAGAAGATGGCTGCTTCAGGCTCCATATTATTAGTTACTGGGAGTTCTCATTAGGGTCACTGTCATATTTTGCAGAAGGTTTCCACTGAACTATGTTTCTATGTCAACCCTAAAAGCTTCCCTTTTCCAGTCATCTCTCCCTGTATTCTTTCCCACTTTCCTTCCATTACTCCTAAGATCCTCCCCATTGGTGCCCCCAGTCCACCCATAAAACCTAGTTTGTTTCTTCTTCTCACGGGAAATCAGTGCATCCCCAGCTACAGCCATCCTTATTACTTACCCTCTGTGGGTCTGTGGATTGTACTGTGATAATTCCTTATTGAATAGCTAATATGCACTTACATGTGAGTATACATCATGTTTGTCTGTGTGGTTCCAGATTTACTTGCTCAGAATAAAAACGACCTCATGAAAGTAGATATCAACAACATAAATGATCAAAAAAAAGTGTGGTAAAGATTAAAGCAATGAATTATAAATAGCTGGATTTAAACTGGCTTAAAAACACTTAAGTAAATTTTCAACACCCTTAGCCATCAAGGGAATGCAAATCAAAACTACCTTAAGAATTCATCTTGTACCTGTCAGAATGGCTAAGACCAATAACACAAGTGACATCTCATGCTGGCAAGAATGTGGAATAAAGGGGACACTTCCCCATTGCTGCTGGGATTGCAAACCTGTATAGCCATTATGGAAATTGATATGGCAGTTCTTCAGATCATTGGGAATTTATCTACCTCAAGACTCAGCTATACCACTGTGGTAGTTTGAATGTAGTTGGCCCCCATAATTAAAGAGGGAGTGGAAGTAGTGGGAGATGTGGCCGTTTTGGTGTGGGCATAGACTGGTCAGAAGAAGTATGTCAGATGACTTGGTGTTGCCACTGAGTCAAGATGGAGGTACTACAGGCTCCAGCGTCATACCTGGCTCTCTGCATATATGCTCTCAGCCATGATGATAATTGACTCAACTTCTGATATTGTAAGTGAGCCACCTCAATGAAATGTTTTCATTATAAGAGTTTGAATGATCAGTGTGATCCTTCATGGAAATAAAAACCTAACTAAAACAGAAATTGGTCCCAGGGACTGGGGTATTGCTATACTAGGCCTGACCATACTTTTGCTTGAAATAATATGAACTTTGGGACTTTGGATTAGGAAAAGTTTTAAATGCATTAAAGACTGCATAATTGACCATACTAAGAGGAGCATGGGAGAGAGTGACCTTGATAATGATATGAAATATCGGGAGCCAGATCAAGAAATTTGAGAGTAGGGTTTTAGTATGTTGCCTAGAAATCATCCTTGTGATATTTCGGTGATGGGAGTGGCTGCAATTTGCCTCCATCCAAAGAACCTACCTGAGGCTAAAGTAAAAAGGTTTTGATTATTCCGTTGGCAGAAGAATTCTCAAAATAGACTAGGATAGACTGTCATGTGGATATTAGTGGTAACTCTACTGAAGACATATAATGAAAGGAGCAGCAGAAAAAGAAAATTTGCTTGAGGAAAAAGGGGCCCCAAAAAGTAGAATTGCAGCTAAATTCGCTGTTCAAGAACATAAACGGATTAAGAAATGGAATAAGGGGAGTGGTGACCTGAAGGAGTGTTGGCACTTGCCTTCAATCCTAGCCTACGGAGAGAGAGACTTATCTCTGCAAATTCAAGGTCAACCTGGTCTACTGAGCAATTCTCAGGACATCCAAGCTTAGGCAGTAAAAGAAAGAAAGCTGGTGAAATATAATTAAATAAGGGGCCAAGTTCCAGCCCCAATGAGCAGCAGAACCTGACAGCTTTGGTCATGTGCTTCTGGCTTAAGTCTTAATGATAGGAGAAAGACATTTAGATCCTCTGGTTCTGGTTGGCTGGGTCTTAAGTATCAGCTGTGATGAGCAAGTTATCAGATGTATTTAAGCAAAATTCTACTTTGCTGGGTACATGATTCTGGTTGGCTGGAGCTAAGAGACCAGCTTCGCTGATGTGAAAATGTCTGGGAAGTGTTTCCTAAGAGTACAGAGAAGCTGTCTTCCAAAGGTAGCCAAGGTTTTACCTCATGCTGCTAGATGGACTTGGTAATATGTGTCAACCTGGTGGTACTGGTTTTGAAGGTATGGATGAAAGTGAGGCATGGCACTGTGGGATGGCAAGAAAGTCCATTGGAGAAGGTACAGTCTTATTGGCACTTGAAGGCCCAGGACTTTGGCATGAAGGGACATGCCACAAAGTTGAGACGTGACACCCTGAGGAGATCCTATGAGAGACCACTGGTGAAAATGCAGCCCAGTTGCAACAGAAGTCCCCAGTGTTTCATAGAAGCCAGCACTGTAATGTGATGAGCAAGAACAGCAGTGGCAGTGGAATTGAGTCATCCAGAGTCTAGAAGACCAGCTGTGTATCCTACAGAGGACAGAGTCAGTGTATTAACAAGACCTATGAGGAGCCTGGGAGATCATAAGCGAATCTTAGATATTGGAAGGATGGAATTTTTTAATTATGCAAGATGCCAGGTTCAGAGGATATCTGATGAGGAGAGCTGCTAATGGGGAATGAAACCAGCCAACAAATAAGATGTGTGTTGGACTCAACAAAGCTGAAAAAAAAATTGGAGAGTGGGAAAGCTGTTGGACATAGAGTTAGTTATCATTATATTGACTTTTTTTTCTTTTTTGTTACTTGGATTTGGTTCTACTTTAGTACTCTGACCCATCCATCTTCTGATTCCTGCACATGTAGGCTTTCATCCTGGCAACCTTGGGCCTCAATTTAGGCCAGTCATTGGTTTGACACTATACCAAACTTGAGCCACCATTTTCCTGGTATATCTTACAGACATAACAAGTTTGTGTCAAATATTTTAGGGTTTCCTAGGATTTCTAGTCCAACCAGTGGGGGCCATATGTGATTACAAAAGATGACTAGTTCAGGCTCCATATCTGAGTTACTGGGAGTCTTCACTAGAGTCACCTTTTAGCTTGTAGAAAGTTGCTACTGCACTGTTTCCACACCACCCCTGATACTTCCTTTTCTTGTTCCAAGTGTAACCACAAAATCTAGTCTAGTTCCTCTTTGCATGAGGCCTCTATGCACCCTCTACTACAGCCATCCTTGTTACTTATTCTCTCTGGGTTTGTTGATTGTACTGTGATTATTCTTTATTCAACAGCTATGGCTATCCTGGGGTTTTTGTTTTTCCATATAAAGTTGATTATTGTCCTCTCCAGATCTGTGAAGAATTTTGATGTGATCTTGATGGGGATTGCATTGAATCTATAAATTGCCTTTGGTAGAATTGCCTTTTTACTATGTTGATCCTCCCAATCCAAGAGCGAGGGAGGTCCATCCATTTTCTGGTATCCTCTTCAATTTCTTTCTTCAATGCCTTAAAGTTCTTGTCAAATAGATCTTTCACTTCCTTGGTTAGAGTTACCCCAAGATATTTTATGCTGTTTGTGGCTATCGTGAAAGGTGAAGCTTCTCTGATTTCCCTCTCTGCTTCCATGTCCTTTGTGTATAAGAGGGTGACTGATTTTTTGGAGTTGATCTTGTATCCTGCCACATTACTAAAGCTGTTTACCAGCTGTAAAAGTTCTTTGGTGGAGTTTTGGGGGTCGCTTATGTACACTATCATATCATCTGCAAATAACGAAAGTTTCACTTCTTCCTTTCCAATTCGAATCCCCGTGATCCCCTTATGTTGTCTTATTGCTATTGCTAGAACTTAAAGCACTATATTGAAGAGGTATGGCGAGAGTGGACAGCCTTGTCGTGTTCCTGAGTTTAGCGGGATGGCTTTGAGTTTCTCTCCGTTTAATTTGATGTTAGCTGTCGGCTTGCTGTATATGGCTTTTATTATATGTAGGTATGACCCTTGTATCCCTAATCTCTCCAATACTTTTAACATAAATGGATATTGAATTTTGTCAAATGAAATCTAATGAAATGATCATATGGTTTTTTTCTTTCAGTTTATTTATATGTTGGATTACATTGATAGATTTTCGTATGTTGAACCAGCCCTGAATCTCAGGAATGAAGCCTACTTGATCATAATGGATAATTTTTCGGATGTGTTCTTGGATTCGGTTTGCCAGTATTTTGTTGAGGATTTTTGCGTCAATGTTCATGAGTGAGATTGGCCTGTAATTCTCTTTCCTGGTTGAGTCTTTGTGTGGTTTTGGTATCAGAGTAACTGTAGCTTCATAAAATAAATTTGGCAATGACCCTTCTGTTTCTATATTGTGGAATACATTAAGGAGTATAGGTATTAACTCTTCTTGGAAGTTCTGGTATAATTCCGCATTGAAACGATCTGGTCCTGGGCTTTTTTTGGTAGGGAGGTTTTTGACAACAGCTTCTAATTCTTCGCAACCAACAGGTCTGTTTAGATTGTTCACCTGGTCCTGGTTTAACTTTGGTATATGGTATTTATCTAAAAAAGTGTCCATTTCTTTTACATTTTCCAGTTTTGTGGCATACAGGCTTTTGTAGTAAGATCTAATGATTCTCTGAATTTCCTCTGTGTCTGTGGTTATGTCCCCCTTTTCATTTCTGATCTTATTAATTTGCCTATTCTCTCTCTCTGCCATTTGATTAGTTTGGATAGGGGTTTATCAATCTTGTTGATTTTCTCCAGGAACCAGCTTTTTGTTTCATTGATTCTTTGGATTGTTTTCTATGTTTCTATTTTGTTGATTTCAGCCCTCAGTTTGATTATTTCCAGTCTTCTACTCCTCCTAGGTGAGTCTGCTTCTTTTTTTTCAAGAGCTTTCAGGTGGGCTGTTAAGTCTCTAATATGTGATTTCTCTGTTTTCTTTAGGTGGGCACTTAGTGCGATGAACTTTCCTCTTAGGACTGCTTTCATAGTGTCCCATAAGTTCGAGTATGTTGTATCTTTATTTTCATTGAATTCAAGGAAGACTTTAATTTCTTTCTTTATTTCTTCCTTAATCCAGGTATGGTTCAGTAGTTGACTGTTCAGTTTCCATGAGTTTGTAGGCTTTCTGGGGGTAGCATTGTTGTTGAATTCTAACTTTAATCCATGGTGATCTGATAAGACACAGGTGGTTACTAATATTTTTTTTTTATCTTTGTAAGTTAGCTTTGCTACCGAGTATGTGGTCAATTTTTGAGAAGGTTCCATGAGCTGCAGAGAAGAAGGTATATTCTTTCCTATTTGGGTGGAATAATCTATAGATGTCTGTTAAGTCCATTTGCTTCATTACCTCCATTAATTCTCTAGTTTCTCTGTTAGGTTTCTGTTTGATTGACCTGTCCATTGGTGAGAGAGGCGTGTTGAAGTCGCCTACTATTAGTGTGTGCGGTTTGATGGCTGCCTTGAGTTTTAGTAATGTTTCTTTTACGTACGTGGGTGCTTTTATATTAGGGGCATAGATATTCAGGATTGAGACTTCATCCTGATGAATTGTTCCTGTTATGAGTATAAAATGTCCCTCTCCTTCTCTTCTGATTGATTTAAGTTTGAAGTCAACTTTGTTAGAAATTAGAAGGCCACACCTGCATGTTTCTTAGGTCCATTTGCTTGATAAGCCTTTTCCCAGCCCTTTACTCTGAGTAGGTGCCTGTCTTTGTGGTTGAGGTGTGTTTCTTGTAAACAGTAGAATGTTGGATCCTGTTTTCGTATCCAGTCTCTTAGCCTGTGCCTTTTTATAGGTGAGTTAAGTCCATTAACATTAAGTGATATTAATGACCAGTGGTTGTTAACTCCGGTCACTTTTTTATTAGTAGGGTTTGTGTGTTTCCCTTCTTCGAGTTGCGCTGGTGAAGGGTCTCTAGATGTCTGAGTTATTGTGGTCATTGTTGGACTCCTTGGTTAGTGATTTTCCTTCTATTATTTTCTGTAAGGCTGGATTTGTGGCTACGTATTGTTTAAATTTGTTTTTATCCTGGAAAATTTTGTTTTTTCCATTTATAGTGAACGAAAGCTTGGCTGGATATAGTAGTCTGGGCTTGCATCCATGGTCTCTTATTTTTTGCAGTACAACTATCCAGGTCCTTCTGGCTTTCATGGTTTCCATAGAGAAGTCAGGTGTAAGTCTGATAGGTTAACCTTTATAAGTAACTTGGCCTTTTTCCTTTGCAGCTCTTAATATTCTTTCTTTATTCTGTATATTTTGTGTTTTGATTATTATATGGCGAGATGTTTTTTTTTTTTTTTTTTTTTGATCCAGCCTATTTGGTGTTCTGTATGCTTCTTGAACCTTCATAGGTACATCTGTCTTCAGGTTGGGAAAGTTTTCTTCTATAATTTTATTAAGTATATTTTCTGGACCGTTGAGCTGCCCTTCTTCTCCTTCTTCTACTCCAATTATTCTTAGGTTTGGTCTTTTTATTGTGTCCCATATTTCCTGAATGTTTTGTGATGAGAGTTTGTTGGACTTGCTGTTTTCTTTGATCAGTGCATTTATTTTCTCTATGTTATCCTCAGAATCTGAGATTCTTTCTTCTATCTCTTGTATTCTGCTGGTTATGCTTGTTTCTGTAGTCTCTATTCGTTTACCTAGATTTTCCATGTCCAGCCGGCGCTCTGTTTGTGTTTTCTTCTTTGCCTCCATTTCAGTTTTCAAGTCATGAACTGTTTCCATTATGTGCTTGATTGTTTTTCCTTGGTTTCCTAGGGTATCATTCACTGATTTACTCAATTCCTCGAACTTTCTGTTATACTTCTCATCCATTTCTATAAGGGCATTTTTTCTATGCTGTTTAAGGGCCTCTATCATTTTCATATAGTCAATTTTTTCTACTTCTTCTTGATTAAGGTGTTCATGTCCTCCTGTTGTGAGGTCGCTGGGTTCTGGTGGTTTCATGTTGTTTTTTCAGATTATTGGGTGAATTCTTGCCTTGGCGCCTGCCCATCTTTTCCTCCGAATGCTCCCCTATGGATCTCCTTTTACAGGATCAGGTCTTCTTGCCCACTGATGTACCTTCCCAGTGATGTCACTCCCCAGTGATGTTTCTCCTGGTGTCCAGATCGGATCTTTGCGCTGCTTGGGTAGCTCGCAAACAAAGGCCCACCCTGCTTGCTGCAGGCAGGCTATGGAGACAAAGGAACTACCGTCCTCCCCTTTGCCCTCCCTATTCGGGTTCGGTCCCAGCGCCCAAGCAGGCTAGGAGGTGCTATGCCGCCAAAGAGGGGAGGGAGGGAGGGAGACAGGGGGTGGGGGATATGGATGTAAGCTGGATGGGATGGGAAGAGAGAGGAGGTATTGGGCAGTATAGCCCCTGCAGGATGACCTGGAAGTGTAGGATGGATCAGGAACGTCTAAGTTCCCTGTTTCCGGCTTATATCTTGGGTATATATCATGTTAGTTAATGTGATTAACATTTACTTTCTCAGAAGGAAAAAAAAAACTCAAGATGCTACACATCAACAAATAAATTAATCACATAAAAATGCAGTTTGGAATTAAACAGAATTCTAAATAGATTGAATCTAAACTGTCTTAAAAACACTTAAGTAAATTTTTAACATCCTTAGCCATCTAGCGAATATAAAGTAAAACTACCTTTAAAATTCATCTTATACCTGTCAGAATGGCTAAGACCAATAACACAAGTGACATCTCATGCTGGCAAGAATGTGGAATAAAGGGAACACTCCCCCATTGCTGCTGGGATTGCAAACCTGTATAGCCATTATGGAAATCAATATGGCAGTTCTTCAGATAATTAGGAATCTATCTATCTCAAAATTCAGCTACATCACTGTGGTGGTTTGAATGTAGTTGGCCTCCATAATCTCCTATAGAGTGGCAGTAGTAGGAGGTGTGGGTTTTTTGGTCTGGGTATGGCCATGTCAATTCATTATCATAAATGTTATAAAAGACTTCACATTTAAACATTTCAGGGACTGTTGCAGCCTATGACAATCATTGAAGTTAGACTAAATACTTTTACATCATGAGGTGACTATAGCCATTTAGAGATCTAGGTCAGAATGTAGTTGATTGAAGGATAAGCTCCAAGATATAATGAGGTATTATTGGTGCCCTTCTTTGTTGTATTTGTGGAACCTTTACTAGGAGAAGGCTTTTTAATGAAATTCCACATTGGGGATTGGATTTACATGTTTATAGCTTCAACTCATATCTGGTTGTTTGTGTCCTGCTGCCATGACTTGACCACCATTATAGATGGTATCACTAAATGACAAAACATGCAGTTGAAGCAATTGCTATTCAGTGTTAATCATTTTTGCTGCTCTGATTTTTATTTTAAATTTTTGTTTTTAGTTTTGTTTCTGAAAGACAATGTTTTTGTGTGTAACTCTGGCTGTCCTGAAAGTATCTCCTTAGACTATCATGACATCCACTGAGAGATATATCCCTCTGCACAGAGAAATTAATAGTGGAGCACATGCTTTGTTTTATGTTTTTTTATTGACTGATGTGTTTGGAATGTAGATTTTTGTAAATTCCAAGCATTTGCTGCTGTGCTGAAAATCCCTATGTCTTAATTTTGAACTGTGGTGGAGGGTATCCTTCTCTTTTCCAGGATAACAGTATCCATGACATTAATACCTGTGTCTTCTGAACCAATGGATTGGAGATGTGTGACATTCTGCCTGTTTTTTTTTAATTCTATGGAATGAGAATGCATTTATTTTGCTACACATGGGTATGTACCAAATGTGTGCCTATTCCTCATAGTGGTCAGAAGAGGCCTCAGAACACACAAAGCTAAAGTAATGGATAGTTATAAACCCTATCTAAGTACTTGCAATTGAACACACTTCTCCGCAAGACCAGCAAGACCACTTAAGTGCTGAGCCAATTTTACTTCCCTGTCATATTTATGATCAATATTTACAGTGGTTCTGTTTTCTTTGGTCCATTTCTAACTGTTCAACATGTACTCCTTTTTAGTAAGGTTTTATTATGCTACAATATAACTGGGCCATGGCAGGTTCTGGAAGATGAATGCAGAACTACAAGAATGCAAAACATTTTGGAGGAACTTTAGTAAAAACCTCTGATTTCTTTTTACATTTTTTTGTTTAAATGATTTTTGGTGAGAAGACAGGGTTTTATTAATGTGTAACTCTGGCTTACCTATAACTCACTGCATAGGTTTTGACTGGCATCCAACTTAATTTAATTCATCTGCTTTTACATTGAGTGATGGTATTAAGATATGAGCCAATATACCCAAGTTTCCCATCTCTTTTCTAGTTAATAATCATCCACACTATTTTTCGGATGTGTTCTCAGTAGTGTTGATCTGCTTGCTTGTCTCTGTCTGTATGTCTGTTCATTGCCATTTCTTTCTCAAGGCTGTATTCTATGTAATGGGCCAAGGAATGGCACATATGAGCCTCCTCTTCAGCTCATTTCTAAAGTGAGTGGTGATTACATTATTTCATGAAAGAACTGTAGGAAGCATAAGAATTATGTGAATATATTACAGTAAAAGAAGTATTCATTTACCATGTCAGGCTCACACTTTGTTTTACTATTGTTTGGATTATTTTAGAATGCAGTGACCTATGATGATGTGCACATTGACTTCACTCGGGATGAGTGGGCCTTGCTCAATCCTTCTCAGAAGAGTCTCTACAAAGATGTGATGCTGGAGACATACAGGAACCTCACAGCCATAGGTAAGACTGTGAACTTCCCTTCACATTTTAATGTAAAGGGACAACTGTGCCTTGGTTATTGATTCTCTTGCATAGTTTTGTTTAAGAAAGAATAAGAATGGGCTGAATAAATACTGCATTGTTTATTTATGATATTACATTTTGCACAATTTCCAATAATATATCATCCATTTTCTGGTACTATATTTTAGGCTATAGTTGGGAAGATCATAATTTCAGAGAACATTGTCCAAGTGCTAGAAGACATGGAAGGTAATTTTTATGTAAATTTTGATACAAATTTCCATTGAAAAAAATTAATGTGTCCTGACAGATTTTAAGCAAGACAACAGTAATAAATAAGAACAGCTTGAAATGTATTGATCATTATCAATTTCTCACAAAGTCATATGCCTTCATATCGGGTAGCTGTTCGGTGTTTTCAAGGCATTCCTCTCAAAAAAAGAAGATAAGGAAACAATGTTTTACTGATACCACCAATTGAATCATAGCCCCATGAGAACTATGCCATAGAAATGTCAATTCATATAGTTTATGCAACTCCAGTACTGCAAAAGGCATAGACATTGAATAGATGATAAGTATATGTCCAAATCTGTATGAGAAATAGAGTCTGTAGTAAAGCTAGAGTTACTCATATACCTGTGGCTTTGCTAACCTTATTGAAATGGTTAGTTTATGAAAGTCAAAAAGGCTTCTGTGGAGAAACCTAAATCCCTACTCCACATGTTTGTGAGGAACAAAAACTCAAATTGTGTGAATTCAATGGAAAAAATCATTTATTTGTTCTTCCTTTAATAAGAATATCATATGTCACTCTGAACACAAGCAAGTGAGCATGTGAATATGTGAAGAATGACTGGAACTCTCTCAGAATAATGAGAAAATATGAAAGAAATTTAGTATTTCAACCTTGGGTAGACATGTTGAATGTGATACAAGGTTATATTTAATTAGTTTTCCAACTTCATTGGAAAGACATCAACAAACTCTCACTGAAGAAAAGCCCTATGAGTGTTGGACTGTGTACTTACTTTGTTTATCCTCGTTCTCTTTGTTATGCAGTATCTATTAAACTATAAGACAATCTTAGAATGAAATAAGTATGGTAAAGCTTATTTAAAACTGAGTAGTTCTAGTTTTTTCAAATACATAAAAAGTCTCATATAAAATTAATTCATACAGATAATAAAATTCACTAGAGTAATGCATAAATTTTTTATATGTTCCAGTTATCTTTGCAGGTATGAAAGAAGCCATACTGGAGAGAAACCCTCTGAATATGCACAATGTGTTAAATCCTTTGCATGTTACAGTTTTCTTCACAGGCATGAAAAAATTCATTCTTCAGAGAACCCATATGATTGTATTCAACATGATGAAGCCTTTGCATGCTGCAGTTGTCCTCAAATATTTAAAAGAGCACATGCTGGAGAGAAACACTATGAGTGTAATCAATGCAGTAATGTTCTTGCCAGTCATGGTCAGCTTCAAAAACATAAAAATCCACATTCTGGGGAGAAATCCTACACATGTAATCAATGTGATAAAGCCTTTTCACAGAACTATGCTCTCCAACTACACCAAAGAACACATACTGGAGAAAAACCTTATCAGTGTAATCAATGTAGTAAAGCATTTGCATGTCATGACCTACTTCACAGACATGAAAGAACACATAGTGGAGAGAAGCCCTTTGAATGTAATCAATGTGATAGAGCTTTTTCACGGCGCTCTGGACTCCAAAGACATGAAAGAACACATACTGGAGAGAAACCCTATGAATGTACTGAATGTGGTAAATTCTTTGCATATAATCATTATCTTCAAGTACATAAAAGAACACATACTGGAGAGAAGCCCTTTGAATGTAATCAATGTGATAAAGCCTTTTCACAGAACAGTGCTCTCCACATACATCAAAGGACACATACTGGAGAGAAACCTTATCAGTGTAATCAATGTGATAAAGCTTTTGAGAGTCACGGCCAGCTTAACAGACATAAAAAAACACATACTGGAGAAAAGCCATTTGAATGTAATGAATGTTATAAAACTTTTTCACATCGCTCTAAGCTCCAAATACACAAAAGAATACATACTGGAGAAAGACCCTATGAATGTAATCAATGTGGAAAATCCTTTTCCTATGTCACTGTTCTCCAGCTTCACAAAAGAACACACACTGGAGAGAAACCTTATCAGTGTAATCAATGTGATAAAGCCTTTTCACAACTTAGTAGTCTCAAAAAACACAAACGAACACATACTGGAGAGAAACCGTATGAATGTAATGAATGTGAGAAAGCCTTTTCACAGGATAGTAGTCTCAAAAAACACAAAATAACACATACTGGAGAGAAACCATATGAATGTAATGAATGTGATAAAGCCTTTTCACAGAACAGTGCTCTCCACATACATCAAAGGACACATACTGGAGAGAAACCTTATCAATGTAATCAATGTGATAAAGCTTTTGAGAGTCACGGCCAGCTTAACAGACATAAAAAAACACATACTGGAGAAAAGCCATTTGAATGTAATGAATGTTATAAAACTTTTTCACATCGCTCTATGCTCCAAATACACAAAAGAATACATACTGGAGAAAGACCCTATGAATGTAATCAATGTGGAAAATCCTTTTCCTATGTCACTGTTCTCCAGCTTCACAAAAGAACACACACTGGAGAGAAACCTTATCAGTGTAATCAATGTGATAAAGCCTTTTCACAACTTAGTAGTCTCAAAAAACACAAACGAACACATACTGGAGAGAAACCGTATGAATGTAATGAATGTGAGAAAGCCTTTTCACAGGATAGTAGTCTCAAAAAACACAAAATAACACATACTGGAGAGAAACCATATGAATGTAATGAATGATAAAGCCTTTACACAACTTAGTAGTCTCAAAGCACATAAAAAAACACATACTTTACATGAAACATATGAATAAAATCAATGTTGTAAAGACTTTTCACAACTTAGTAGTCACCAAAATCATTAAAGAACACACACTGAAGTGAAATCTTATGAATGTAGTCAATATGATAAAGCTTTTGCATGTGATGGCCAGCTTCACAGATAAAAAAAAAAACACACACACACATACAAAAGAGAAGCCCTTTGAATGTAAGCAATGTGATAAAGATTTTTCACAGAGCTCTAAACTTCAAATACAGAAAAGAACACATAGCAGGAAAAAAACAACCCTAGGAATGTCATCAATGTGAAAAAGCCTTTTAATATGTTAGTAGCCTCCAACTTCACAAAAGAATATATACTGGAGAGAAAGCTTATGACTGTAATCAATGTAAAGTCTTTACATCCACCAAGGAACACATGCTGAATATAAACCGTACAAATTTAGCTAATGTGGTAAAACCTTTATATGTGTCATTAGGCTTTGAAATCATGAGAAAAAACATACTGCAGTGAAACTTTTTTTTTTTGAGACAAAGTTTTTCCATAGTATTGTAGTCTGTCTTTGCACTCACCCATAGAAGAGGCTCACCTTGCACTCAGAGATTTGTCTGTCTCTGCCTCTCTAGTGCTGGATTAGAGGGGTGTGCCACCACAGTCTGACCAGAGGAACTCTTTAAGTATAATGAGTGTGCTAAAGTTTCCCTCTTCTTGGTAGGCTTTATACAAGAGTAAAACTTTTAGTAAATAATAGGTCTTTTAAAGCCTTTGCATATCACAGTACTCTTTGAGGACTTGAGAAGATTCATATTGAAGGGAATGTGACTATACATGTTTGGTAATATTTTCAGGCAGCATACAATTATGTAAATAAAACTGTAAAGAAAAACATCTTCAAGTGTCAGCCGTCTGTTTAAGCATTATGAGTTTTCTACTTTGTTTGTACCAGTAAAATTATATGGATAGTTGTTCTGTGAATTCATTGATTTCACACTTTTCTTCAATTACATAAATGCACTTATCCAAATGTAAAATTTTATAGATGTGTATGAGGGGGCCTCTTCTGTGTCTGTGATAAAGCATAATGTCTAAGTCAATTTTTTAATTTAGAGTTTAATTTGACTTTGGGTTCCAGAGGTTTACAGGATCACCATGAAAATGTCATGAAAACATGTTCAGAACTCACATCCTCTGTCTGCAGCACGAACCAGGGGTAGGAACTTGAAATGACATGTGGATGTACACCCTTAGCCACAACCCCCATGGCATATTTCTTCCAGGAGTACTGTGTTTCCTAAATCTTCCCAAATGTTGCCAACAATTTAGAAAGATTAATTTCTCTAACTTCAAGTCTACATGCTTGCCTTTTCTTACACAAACCCATTCTTGTTGAAGAAAAACTCTGTAAGTAAACCTTTAAATGCCTTAGCATGTGGGTTACAGGGATGAATGCCTATTAGAGAAACATTCATGACTGAAAATTGCAGTCTGTTTTTGGTATATTTGATAATAAATTTATTTAATTTAATTGTGTGATGTCCTTGTGTTTGTGTGGTATATGAATGTTCATGCTTTTTCCCAAGAAGGTTAAACCGTTGTGTATTCCTGAAGCAGGAAGTACAGGAAGTTCTCAAAAACCTGATGGAATAAACTGAATATAACTGCTTTTTCATGTTTCTAGGCCTGTAAATATTTTTCAAACTTTTTAATCATCTTGATATCAGGAATCAGGGAAGAACTCATACAAAAGACAAACCCTCTTCATGTAAATTATCTGTTACAGACTTTAGACATCACAGTTGGCATAGTCTCAAGAAATTTTTGTCTCATGTGTTTTTCATAATTATTTACTATCATCATTCAAGACTGATGGTAGAGATCACTGCATTGTGTTTTCCAATTTGCAATGTCGGAGATAGATATTCAAGTGTTCTATAGGTTTAGCGAATCCATTAAGTGAAGGTTATTTTGTGGTCTTTGTATTCCTGCTGTGGCTGGTTTTACTGAGAGATAGGTAATTTTCTGCTGAAATATATAGAATGAGATGCCCATCATCTAAGTGTTACATTGTTCACTAAATATCAGGCAGTGTGTGATCATGCTTTTCAAGTAAGGGTGTCTGTTAAAGGGGAGGTAATTGTTTTTCTTTGTTTTGTTTTCCATATCTTTACAAATTCCCTTACAATGTTATCCAGGCTTGCTTATATGTCAATAATTAGTTATGGATATATTCAAACTAATAACTCTCATGTGTTAGTTACTTGAGTGTAAGTATAAAGGTCGATGATATATCCCAACATTTGCTCTTTTGTCAACACTTAACAAAATTAATGTTAAAATGCTTAATAGAGAATATAAAAAAACATAAAATACCTCATGTGTATTCAAAACAACCTTTTCTTCAAACTGGTAGAGGTATAATAATGTAGAAAAATAAGCCATCAATTGCATATTTCACAGTATAGCTTGATATCCTAATGGTATATATACATAATTTAAAGTTCTATAAATCTTCCTGTCCCCATTAGTTATCCATTTGTTACTTCATCATAAATTGGTTCCTTCTAAGGGAATTGTTCAGAGATGCTAGATAATGTAAAATCAATGAGATTTATTTGAAAAAAGCTTCTGTTATATGTATGTGATACGATTATGGGGTATTAGGCCTGACTAGTATGTGGAGACCATAAAACAAGATTGTTGTGTTGACTTTTGGCTCTCTTTATATGGTGATCGAGATTAGGTTACCAGCTTTGCACACCATACACATTTCTCACTGGTATATCAACTCGACCCGATGAGTTAAGACATTAAGTCAGTAAAATATTGTCTTCTTTTTAGATTGTAAACATGTTTTCATTGGAGACTAGAGGAAAACAGAACACTTGGAATAATAAAACCTTTTTGCAATTGAAAATGATAAACTGCTATCACTTTTTTCCTTATTCCTTTTTTGTGGAATATGTTATTCTGAGACATAAAATGAAGTGACTCTAACACTTGCACAATTAGGCATTTACAAAGAGCTGTAGAGTATTGAATTGTTAGTGAGATTGTTTTGCATGTGGAAGTCAAATCAAATGGCCTGAGGGCAATGCTTGTGGTATACCTGAGAATAAGTTTACCTTTTTTTAGGATGTATTACTGCTATGGGAGAGTAATCTTTTATCTTGTCCCTTGTGTTATTATTTTTTCTTTTATTTTCTTGAGCTATACATTTTTGTCTACTCCCCTTCCTGCTCTCCCCTCCCATTCAACCCTCTCTCATGGTCTCCATGCTCCCAATTTTCTCAGGAGACCTTGTCTTTTTCTAAACTTTCCATGCAGATTAGATCCATGTATGTCTGTCTTAGGATCCTCATTGTTGTCTAGGTTTTCTGGAATTGTGAATTGTATGCTGATTTTCTTTGCTTTGTGTCTAAAATCTGCTTATGAGTGAGCACAAATGATATTAGTCTTTTTGGGTCTGGGTTATCTCACTCAATATGATGTTTTCTAGATCCATCCATTCGCCTGCAAATATCAAGATGTCATTATTTTTTTTCCTGTGTTTAATTTTTTCTCCATTGTTTAATAAACCACATTTTCTTATCCATTCCTTAATCAAGGGGCATTTAGGTTCTCTGCACGTTCTGACTATGACAAACAATGCTGCTATGAACATAGTTGAGCACATGTCCTTATGTTAAGCATCCTTTGGATATATACCCAAAGGTGGTATTGCTGGATCTCTAGGAAAGTTGTTTTCTAATTTTCTGAGAAATCACCATCCTGATACCCAAAACAACTGTACCACATTGCACTCCCATTAGCAACTGAGGTGTGCTTTCTTTACCCAACAACCTCTCCAGCATAAGTTGTCATTAGTGTTTTTGATCTTGGCCATTCTTACAGGTGTAAGATGGAATCTCAGAGTTGTTTTGATTTGTATTTCTCTGATGACTAAAGATGTTGATCATTTCCTTAAGTGTCTTTCAGCCATTTTAGATTCATTTGTTGAGAGTTCTCTGTTTAGGTCTGTACTCCAGATTTTTATTGTTCTTTTGATGACCAATTTCTTGTGTTCTCTGTATGTTTTGGAGATCAAACCTCTGTCTGATGTGGGCTTAGTGAAGATATTTTCTCATTCTCTAGGCTACCATTTTGTCTTGTTGACTCTGCCCTTTGCTTTACAAAAGCATTTCAGTTTCAGGACATCCCATTTATTGTTTCTCTCAGTGTCTGTGCTACTGGGGTTATATTTAGAAAGTGGTCTCGTGCCAATGCATACAAGTGTACTTCTCACTTTCTTTTCTGTGAGGTTCAGTGTGACTGGCTTTATATTGAGGTCTTTCATTCATTTGGAATTGAGTTTTGTGCATGGTGACAGATATGGATCTATTTTCATTTTTCTTCATGTTGATATCCAGTTATGCCAGTACCATTTGTTAGATATGCTTTCTTTTTTCCAATCCCACACCAGTTCAGAATTATGAGTAATAAAGCGGTTGTTCATTTATGAGGAAAACTTACAGATCACTTTCCAAGACAATCCTCTGTGTGAACAGGAACAGAGTCTTGCAGGTGGAAGAAGGAGCCAGAAGTAAGAGTGGGCATACATTTACAGCTGCTTTTACAGTATAAGGGGCCACACCCAAGTGGGCTTTTTACTTAAAGGTTATTGGCTGAAAGAGCAGAATGTGCTCCCATAGCACCTCCCCCTTTTGTTTAAATAAGAGAGTTCCAAACCCAATACAAAACTATATGCACTAGGAACAGATATCATTTATAATTAGAAATACAACCAGCATAAGCAATATGCAATAAACAAGCTAAATATATTGTCCTATATAGTCTAAGTCTTACATAGAAAATGGGTTTGGCTAGATCTTAAAAGGAGAGTAACTACAACTATCTAATTTTCAACCCTATCAAAGGCCTGAGAAGGGAGATGATATTATTTGAGTGTCTGCGTTACCCTCTCTGCCACTGTACCATAGGCCACTGTACCACAGGCATGCCGGGCAAGGGCCTGAAGATTGAAAGAACACACAAGAGACCTGATCTGAAAGGAGATTAAGCTGAATTCCATTTATTCATCCTTAG